CTGGGCAAAATCCGGACGCGTCCGATTTTCATTAATCTTGCTCAGTTCCATACATTGTGTGGGGCCTAATCGATATATAAGTTATACAGTACACTGTATGAAAATTAAATAAGGAATTTTAATTGAACGCCGCTAGGGGGACGCCCAGCCCAAAACTAGAGCTTATAAATGAGCATTTCTCTGTGCATATCATATAAGAATCGGGTATTTAATGAACCATTAAAAAAATGTAAGTGTAATGTTGCACATCTAAAAGCAATGGTTGTTGGTACGGATTGAGTTGAATAGGGATTTTTATAAAAAACAAAATAAAAATAACAAATATTATAATAATAAATGCACATAATGTATATCATAAAAAATAATTCACGTTTCATAAATATAAAACAAATCCCATCATTGAATTCAAAATAAAAGATAAGATCTTTTATATATAATACATGTATGTCATAAAATATTTTATAGGAGTCCTATATTATTTGTTTTTGCTCTTAAATTATTTTTAAATTGTTTGAATACAATAATAAAATGTCTACAAACCTAAATCCATGGGTATATTAACGGTACCGAAGATAATAAATCGGGGGAAACAACAGACGGCCGATAAGATCCAGACAATAATGATTGTGATCTTAAGCTTACGGATGGTTAGGAGGCGTCGACTCAACAACGGGTAGACGAGCGCTAAGTATCGCTCAATGGATATGACGACCAGTATATACACAGAGCCGGTGTATGAGAGGGCGTGTATGANCCGAGAGGTTCTGATACACACAGAAGAGGGCGACGCAGAGGTCGGCCACCGCTAGGTTTAGCAGAAAGAAATTGGTCGCCGTCTGTGTCTCCCGGTTCAGCGCCAACACCGCTATCACCAGTGAATTGCCTACACATTAACACACATTCAATACATTAAGATTATATATCTTACATCATTTATTACATGTACAGTATATCATTATTTTATTACTAGGGCTAACATTTAATGATTCATTTAATATGCAAGCTCATCCAAATTATGAATTAGTCAAGTAGTGTTATAAGTTATAATGTAAATGTACTTTACATAACTTATAACATTCACTATTCAGATAATGCTAAGTACTACTAAACAAATTAAATTGTTATGATAGTCATTATTGTCTTTTGAGCAAATAAATATCTTTAAAAATTATCTCTTTTTTAGCTCTTTTCTGTTAGCCTTATTTATTACTAACCATTAATGTATTTATATCTAGATTTGTTTTATACTAAATAAACATTTAGGTAGGTTTTATATTTTTATATCTTTTATATATTTATATATTATTACTTAATCCAGTTCCGTGTAATATCTAACGGTATATTTTATCATTAATAAAACATTATATTTTTTAAAATAAATTATAAGAGTCTATTTACAAATTCTATTAACTTATACCATTTATTTGATTATTTTTCATTTAACCATCATATAAAGCATATAAAATAAACACAGTCAACTGTATCAAATAATAATCATGTTAAAATTTATAAAAACAAAACAAAACATTCTCTGGCTGAATTTTTTTATATTTGCCATTATAATGTAATTAGTAATTACTAATACAAAATAGAAATGTTATAAATATTTAATAATAGCCTATTTATTATTAGAAATGGCAAAAATAAAATATTATTATCAAGCGTTAGACAGAATACACGCAATAAATATTCTGTTAAACAGAATTCAATTGTAAATGAGATTCACAAAACATTTATTGATTGAAACATAAAACTTGATTTAAGGATTCAGTCAACACTTATAAGCTCTGAAAAAAATGCATACAAAAATTCAATTAAAGCTAACTATAAAATGCTTATTCAAAAACTCGTTCTTAATAAATGCAAATATATTTATTTATGTATTTTAAAGTACATTTAGCTTCACTTATATTAAATAAAGTTGTTTAAGATGTATGTCTTACAACATTACATAAAGTTGAATTGAATTTTTAACTTTTATACACGCGAATACATACATCATAAGCTGATTTTTATGCAGACACGTATTTACCTATATAAATTACAATAAATTATATTTTAAATATCTAAAAACATCTACTTATACCAACTTTCTAACAACTATTATGGTTAATGAAAATTATTATTAACCTTATACAAAATCCATACATCAATATGTCTACATTTTGCACATTAATTACATATGATGGTGATATTTAAGGGCATTACAAATGGCATAATTAGGCTGAAATACATACCAACAAAACAGAGAACGAATACAAATGAATAGATTATAGACAGGAATATCTTGAATGGTAGAGAAGTCAACATATTTTCAGTACAATTGCAATCGTTTTTATCCGAATTCACGTGAGTATGGCTGGCGTTGAATAGCAAATACGTTTCGTATGAAACTTGGCTTATTGTTTGATTATTGATCATGGTCGAACGCGGCTATTATGTCTGAATGCTATTATTGGAAATAGTAACAGGGCTTACACACATTTTGTTAGCCACCACATTGTTAGTGATATATTTGTGTTTTCTTGATATTATAGCAAATAATTCTGAAAGGCAAGAAATAAAACATTATTTTACAGATATATAATACTTTTTCTTTTGAAAGTACATGCTTATTCGTGCAAATAGCTTAGTGTAGATTTAATACAGCCACATGTCTAAAATTTCACAAATATTTTAATTCCATTATAGAGAGTTATAAGTATTTTTAAAATTTTAATAACATTCTTTAATTAAATTATAAAATTCCTGAAACTAACAGTTTTAATATTTATTTTGTTTTTGTCATTGTATAAAAATCAAGCGTTTTAAAATAAAACTCAAATTTAATTATAATTATTTATCAAAGCTAAATCTTTATACTTTTTAATATTCTATTATTAAATATATATTACAGTAGTTATGGTTTATAAGAAAACATTAGAAATTCATAATAAAATTTTATAATAAAATATAATAAATACAAAACGCTATTTTTAATTTTACAAAAAATAAATGTTATATACAAATAAACTTTATTTGTTAGTATTTCTTACCTTTAATAAATTATCGCAAATGTCTAGACAAATAACAAATAACAATAATATACAATATATTCTACAAATAACTAATACTTGATAGTTTTCTCAACAAATTAAAAAGTACAATGAAGTTGCAAATATAAAGCACTACAAATATTATATCTAACCGCTTATATAAGAATATTCTGCAACAAGAATAACAATTCTGTGCGATTTTCAGCACTGCATGAGTTGTTATGATAGCAAAAGTTCAAGCATTGCACGAAAAAACACATATCAAAAGTGAATTGTGTTTGCGCAGAGCAATTAGTATGGCAACAACTCTCTCTCTCTCTCTCTCTCTCTCTCTCTCTC